GATAAATTTTGGAGCAAACGGGAGTATTTACGGGGAGTCAAATTTCAAAAATTTTCTGGGGGAGTACAACCCCAGACCCCCCATCCATGCGTGGTATATTTTCCACACATGTGGCTTTCAGCCATTGCTATCCCCCTCTAATATATTATCTCACAGAAAGGTCCCTTTTCAAAAAATGCCCCCCCACGGGAAAATCCTTAAAAAAGGCCCTGATAGCATCCGCCGACGAGCAACGTGTAAGCTTGTTGATGCTCTAACAGAGCAACAGTATGGATTTCGAAAAAAACAGGTCAACTGAGCTGACAATAATTGAATTAAATGACAAAATATCAAGGGCAATTAAATCTATGATCGGTATTTTTTTGACGTATCTAAGACGTTTGATCACAAGAATCTGACAAGGAAGTTGGAATATTATGGACTATATTTCATGATTGAGTCAGTTTTCCGATGTACCGCGAGCAAAAAAAAACTAGTGGAGTTACCTAAAGGTTCATATTAGGACACCTTTTGCTCAGTCTTACTGTAATATAAACGATATTCAAAATTGTAGAAACACAGTTTCAATGATCTTATTTGAGGATGACACAAATATATTTTGCAGTCACTTTATGTTGCGACAATAGCAACATATGTCAAAATTCTAGTTAATCGAGAATGCTAGTTAATTAACTGCGCAAGGATGGCTGAAATACATCTCCCGCTAAATTGTCAATCAGAAAGGGTCGCCATGCACATTGGCACATCATCAATCAAAATTGCATTGTATAAGCTTTGCTTCACTAACATATCAGGAAGTAAAGTATGTATGTATGTATATATATTGGAGGAGTAACAACTTTAAAAAGGTCTAGTTTCAAAAGTAAAAAATGACTAATTTTTCAGTGCTAACTGCAACCTTCGTCAGAGCATAGTTAGGGTCAGAGTCGGTTTATATATACAGTAGTGTCGCTAGTCATTGCGTGACTATACTAACCGTATGTATATTTGCGGGATATGTTCATTTATAGATCTACCGTCTAAAGGCGCAATTCCAGTCCTCGCACGAAGCTCCTCGCAGTTCGCTGCGAGTGCTTGTATGTAATTAAAATTAACTTTCAAGCATTGTGATTGGATGAAAGTGCTCATGCATGCACTCGCAGCGAGCTGCGAGGAGCTTCGTACGAGGACTGGAATTGCGCCCTAAAGCCCGCCGCACACGAGAGCAACTTGCTGAGCTAACCGCCTCGCGAGGCGATTAGCTCAGCAAGTTGCTCTCGTGTGCGGATAGTTTTCGTGAGGATTTAACCTCTTGAGGAAAATATCTATCGTGTTTGATATTTTTCACCTCGCGAGGAAAAAATCTCAACGTCTGCGGATGTTGTGAGCTAAGTGCTGAGCTGTTTGAATCAATTAGCCAATGACAAACCATGGTTTCTTCATGTGACTTGGAACAAAATGGAGGAATATGCAAATGATTTTGTCATTTATGCTGTTGTTGAGTAGTTTTCTCAACGTGTGCGGTGAAAATACATAGCTGAGCTAGCTACCACGCGAGGCGGTTAGCTCAGCAAGTTGCTCTCGTGTGCGGCAGGCTTAACACCGAGTGCAGTGACTCGAGGAAAGTTCTTTTGTGAATATTATGTATCCTCTTTTCTTAAAATCGTAGATTGATAGAGCTATACCCAAAAGGGTGCTAACACTTCCTCTCCGCGGGAAACTTCCGCAGAGGAGAAACGGGAAAAGCCCGAATTTTACTCAGAATACTTGTACAGTAAATACTTTATCACCAACTTGCAGGTATTACTTTATCAACGATAGAAACGGATTAGTCAAATTGGCGCAAAATAGTCTATAGGCGTATATAGCGCAAAATATACTGCGAAATATAAATCATCCATCATCTGTCTGACGGAACGACTACCTTATTATTAGGGACCTTAAGCAAACAGGACGCCAACGCGACGCGACGACGGCTATTCACACAATAATATTCGATCTGATCTCGTACAAAAGTTATGAATAATTAAAAGCCCACGGGAGTTAGAGACGTTGTGTTAGGGCTTTTTACAACGGCAAACCAGAGATTTTCACGTCTCGTGTACAACGCAAACATGTCAAGACGCGACAAATGAAACTACAAATTTGCTCAGCAAAACCCGGTTTTTAACCATAAAGCCTTTGTTTTAATTTCTTCAAACTGAACT